GAGATCTTCTTTAAAGGGTAAAAACTCATTCAATTTTATATCTTACAGGGGTTATACTGAGTTCAATATTGTATAACTGTATTAATTCAACTGTGAACCTAAAAATTTACAGCCACTTTTGAAAGAGATGTATTCTTGCTCTGGAGTGTGTTACTGAATATGTTAAAGCTGTAATGAAATGTTTCCTCTAATCATGAGGTTATTAAATTTAAAAAAAAATATGTCCTAAACAAAAATTTCAATGTTACAATAATGCTATGCATTACCATATTTTTATAATATGTGTATTCTTTCAAAGGTTCCAAGTTATAACACCACTAAAGTTCAAAAACACATTCCTCTCTGTGCCCTGATATCAAGTAATCCTAATTTCCATTTCACTGGAAAATGGTATTTTGATGACTGTGGAAAAGAAGGCTATGGGTTTGTTTGTGAGAAAATGCAAGGTAGGAAATATTTGAGTTTTGATTCTTTTCATTTCCAGTCTTCTGTATTTGTTACATACCAGCTTTGCAGCTAGCATTAGGAGACACTTGCTCTTTAAGTATATTTAGTCATTAGTCTCCTCTTCCTAGCACTGTGCCCTTCAACTGTGTCCTAAGGACTGGAGAAGTCTCTTGACTGATGACCAAGTTTTTGCATCCACCTAAGTACCATTAAATAACTCCACTCCTTGTTCTGGGATTTTATGTCTATATTAGTCCACTTTTCAAAATGAAAATGAAATTAGCATGTTAATACACAAAAAAAACCACTTTCTTTTGGCTCACAGTTGTGCTCCAAAATCAAGGGTCCACATCTGGAGATGGCTATCTTCCTGTCAGACTTCTAGTATGTCTTATCATATCACAAGAGCTAGGGATTGGGAGTACCTCTGTTCTCTCTCACAATTAAAGCCACCAGGATTCAGTCACAAGATTCCACCCTCATGACTTTATCTCATTCTAATCATCCTCCAAAGGCCCCACTTCTGAACCTCATAGATTAAATTTCTTTAGGGAGAAACATTGAAAATGGATCTAAACTACACATAAACTATTTAGGCGATTTTTGAAAAGTCACCCAGAATGGTGGAAAAGACTCAGGAACTGGGCTTGGTGGATTATGCCTGTAATTCCTGAACTTAGGAAGTTAAGGCAAAAAATATCTTAATTAGTTCAAGACCAGCCTAGACCACATAGTGAGACCCTGTCTCAAAACAACAACAGCAGAAGTCACATAAATAAACTAATTTGTACTCACTCCTTCTTTGGAGTTCCAAAAATTATCTTTATGGCTGAATGTGACATCCAGTATGCATTTAGATCTAGAAGGTAAAATTCCCCAATGATTTCTGGAGTATAGTATCAAATCTGTTAGCCAGCTTTCCGTTAGCTAGCACACAGGTCTGGGTGTCTGCCCTCCCAGACTCCCACCCCACCACTGTAAATGAGCTTTCCCTTACTGAAATAATCAACTTACAGAGTTTATATTGGCTTATCATTTTGAAGGTTCTAGTCCATGTTTGATTAGACCCATTGCTTTGGGCCTGTAGTACCACCCCACCACTGTAAATGAGCTTTCCCTTACTGAAATAATCAACTTACAGAGTTTATATTGGCTTATCATTTTGAAGGTTCTAGTCCATGTTTGATTAGACCCATTGCTTTGGGCCTGTAGTATAACAGAACATCATGGAGGGAGCACATAGCAGAGCAAAGCCACTCACCTCATGACCAGGAGGCAGATAGAATGGAAAAGGAAGAGTCTGGGCTCCCATAATTCCCTTCTGTGGTATGCCCTCAATGACCTAAGGCCTCCCAGTAGGCCTCATCTACTAAACATTCCACCAGCTCCAGTAGAACCACTCTAGGGACCAAACTTTGAACACCTGGACCTTTAGAGGTCACTTAGAAACCTAACTGCCAGTGAGGTGAATGAGCAGTGTGAATGTCCTTGAGCAACGTTGCATAATAAAAGCAACAAAGACAGCTTTTGTTTTTACTACATACTGTGTCCCTCTGCCTGGCATAGTGCCTTGGGTTTATGGACACTGTGTCATAAAACCTTCAAGACCATTCCAGGAAATAGGTCAGAGTCTCCCCATTCTATAGATAAGAATTTGAGTCTTAGGGGGAAAAAAAGTATCTCAGTTAAATACAGTAATTCTATTTTTGTGATGTTGGCTTCTTCTTGAATTTACCCCTGATTACTTTCTTTGGCATTTGGGGTCTAAGGCTAGTAGATGCTCCTTTGGTGATTCGCAGAGCAGAGGTGGAACACACAGGTCTGGATGTCTACCCTCCCAGACTCCTGCCCCACCACTGTAAATGAGCTTCAGTCAAGTGACTTATCTTCTGTGAACCTTGATTTCAACACCTATTACCTATAAAGTAAAGTAATAACTATTTCACATGCATACATAAAGTTTAGTATAGTCCCCAGCACATGTTTAACAAATGATAGTTTTTTAATTATTATTTCTGAAAAAGTATTATTCAGCTTAACAAATTCTTGTCACAGTGAACACCCTATATTTGCCATATAAATACGTGCTTACATTGGGCTTGAGCCAACCTTGCTATCTGCATGCCAGAATCAAAAAATCTGAATCAAAAGAGAGCCAAAGAGTGGGGAGATGGCTCAGTAGGTAAAATCACTTGCCACACAAGCATGAGGACATGAGTTTGAACCCCAAGATCATTGAAAAAGCTAGACACATGCACAGCCCAAGGACCATATTCCTGGCACTCCTATAGGGAGATGGGAGGCAGACAGGAAAGTCCCTAGAAGCCCATGGGCCTGGCAAACATAGCAGAAAAACAACAGAAGAGACTGTGTCTCAAAGTAGAAGGCAATAACCAACACCCAAAATTGTCCTCTGACTTCCACATGCACACTGCAGCACACACGTGCCTGCATACACACACCTGCATACACACACACACACACACACACACACACACACACCCATACACTTTCTTCTTCAGGGTAATGAGTAGCAAAGCCACATTACTCAAAATTGCATGTTTTGTTTTGAAACTTGATGGAATTAATTTTATTGGGAGATAAATGCCTGTATGTAAAAACAACAGTATAACTCAATAGGAGAAAACAAAAATTTCAGTTACTTTAATTATACTAGTTATTGTCATTTTGAAATAGTACTTTTGGATTATACTGATTATTTTAATAACTAATCTTAGACGGAGTATGGACTGGCAAACAGACCTATAGAATACACTGGTAATTAAAGTGCAATTCACTACAAGTTAATTAATAAATAGATTAATATCACTTTGTAATATGTGCTTGTTATATCAAGGTAACAGTAACAAAAGACAAAAGTAACGTCTTGCTTTGCCATTTTTTGTGTGGAGAACATGGAACAATATTTATTGAGTGTTTGACGTGTCCCACATGCAATAGCGTGTCCTGTGTGGACATCAAAATGAATTCTGCCCTCACCCCTCTGAGGAAGACATCATCAATTTCTTATAGACCCAAAAGTTTGGCTGTAGAGAGACTATTCTGCTCAAGATCTTTTAGTCAGAAATGGGATGAAGTCCAGGTCTTCAGTCCATTCATACCTCAGCATGCACCTTTCTAAACTCTCACTTATTAATTGAAGTTTTAGTTTAGTATACAGAAAGGAACTGAAGACATTTTAGATAAAATAGTGCAGAAATTTTACTTTGTTTTCATGTTTTAATTTTTTCAAACTCTACCTATCCTAAGGATATGACATAACACAGGACAAAAAGGCAAATGTACAGATGTTAAAGAGAGAGCATCCACAGGTCAGACACAGGTCTGCTGATCACGTGATTATGGCCATTCACAAATAGCCAAGCACTACCAAGCATGTGTCAGAAACCTTTGCCTTTTAATTTCTAAATCTTGACTCTGGTGATGCATTAATAATAATAGTTTACAGGGCTTGCACGTGTTTTTAGCACTTACTAACTTCAGTTTTAAAATTCTTTTTCAGAATTTATACATTAAACACACCCATGGTTATCCTACAGTCTCAAAAGTGTAGTCCAGTGTTCCATGTGAGAGTATGCACTTGAAGAATTAGGTTTGCAGTACAGTGCATTACTATATGACATATGCAAACATTCTACTGCTATGAGCTTCTGGCAGAACAGTGGGCTAGAGACTGCTTCTCTATTGAAGGGAAACTTGCCTAAGCCCATTACCTGTACCTCTAGCAAAAAACAGTATGTTTGACAAAGGATGGTAACAAATGGGGAGTCTTCTAGAGATAATCTAACCAGTGTTTGTACTTTTTAGGAAACTCATTCATAAAAATTCCCAAATGTTCCAATTCTTTAGTATCGCACATATTTTCATGCAGTGTATTTATTTTGAATTCATTACTTCTGGAAGAAAAACTCGAATCAACATGGGTATTAGTGTCCAGGATGCATGCCAAATTTGGTCTCCTCCTTTCTCTTCAACACACTAGAGGTGATTTTGTTGCTGTTCTCATTCTAGATATTCCTGGACACCATGAAAATGTGTCTGATGTATATCCAATCCCCAATACTTTAGAGTATGGAAACAGAACTTACAAAATAATTCATGCTAATATGACTTGGTACACAGCAGTAAGAGCCTGCCTGATGCATGGAGCAGAACTGGCCAGTGTTACAGATCAGTTTCACCAGTCCTTCCTCAGTGTTGTCCTCAGCAAGCTAGGACACACCCATTGGATTGGACTTTCCACCACAGACGTAAGTTGTGGGAATGACTTTAATACTATGCACATGCTTTGGACAAATGACTTTTACTTTATCTTGCAACCTAAAATTTAGTCTTAGCTTGTTTATAATATAAATAAGCCTACTTAGCCTTGAGCTTCTCTTGTAACCTAAACATTTACCTCATGACCCTCCCTTGCCCTTGACCCAGAATAATGTATAAATGTGTGTGGGGGGGTTGCATGTCAAGCAAGTGTTGCAAGGAACAGATATCAGCAGATATTCATTGGAAGCAACAGATGATCCCATTTATGTTGTAAACAACAGATGGAATTAAATTGGTAACATCTGTTTGTGTATATGTGCTATTCTAGATCAGTAGGGGTCAGAAAGGACAAAATGCTTCTGATAAGGGTCTGCTTTTACTTCCCCATTTCATACCAAATATACTCTTATAATAGAGAGAGGAAGGCCTTTGTTTGAGAGCACAGTTCCCACAAAGTCTTGAAAGTTCTCAGAGCAGTTCAGGTCCCCTCTTGGCTCAAATGGATGCTTAAGAGTCAGGCTGTTTTTATAAAGCATAACTATAATGTGGCACCACATAAGACTACCCAGTAGGTATTATAAGTCCCTCGGATCATCTTTGCCCAGTTGCTCATCTATCTTCTTAGTGAGACAACCACTGAAATCAGCACACAAAACCATGTTCCAGAAACAATAATAAATGTAACAATTTATTCTTGGTTTATACAAAAAACACTGCTTTATGTATAGCCTGTGGCTACAAAACAAGAGTGCACATCTTTTTTTAGGATACACTTGCCTGATTTCTAAATGAAGTGGCCCTGTGCTTTCTCTGAAAATTCTCCTGAGTTCCAGCTCATTCGTGCACTGGAACACATCTTAAACTCAAGTGCTATGTTTGGGCAATTTATTGGATTTCAAGAATCTTCATGAAAAATGATTCCTGCTTCCTGCTCAGAAACTTGATTATTAATTCATTCACTGCCCTTGAAATATAGCATGCAGAGTTTTGTTTTTGTGATTTGATTTTTTTGTTTTGTTTTCTGTTTGCTTTTGTTTTTTAAAACGAATATTTGTGCTAGATAACTTTATTTGTCAACTTGGCACACCTGGGTAGAGGGAGCCTTAATTGATGAATTGCCTCCACTGGACTGGCCTATGGTCATGTCTGTGGGGTATCTTCTTGATTACTGAGTGATGTAGGAGGGCCCTGCCCACTGTGGGTGGTGCCACCCCTAGGCAGGTGGGCCTATGTTGTATAAGAAAGGTTGAGCAGGGGCAAGGGAAGCAAGCCAGTAAGCAGTGTTCCTCCATGGCCTATGTTCCAGTTCCTACCTCCAGGTTCCTGCCCTGAGTTCCTACCTCGGGCTCTCAGTGATGAACTGTGACCCAGAACTGTGACCCAGAAGACATAAGCTAAATAATCCCCTTCCGACCCAAGTTGGCATTGGTAAGAGTGTTTTGTCACAGCAATAGAGAAACAAATGAGAACAGTATTACATACCCAAATTAATGAAAAGAAAGTTCTATTATCCATAACCTCTGATTATTCTGGAGGAAAAAGTATAGAAATCTATGTAGGAAGGACAGGATGCTCAGATAGTGTTAGGTGATGCTGCCAGCAGTTGTGGCAATGACATGATGTTTCAATTTCTCTCTACAGAATGGTCTTAATTTTGACTGGTCAGATGGCACTAAATCCCCTTTCACTTACTGGAAAGATGAGGAGTCACATGTCCTTGGTGACTGTGTCTTTGCTGACACTAATGGACAATGGCATAGCACAGCCTGTGAGTCATTTCTGCAAGGCGCCATTTGTCGTGTGCCCACTGGTAGGTAACAATTCTATTCAACTCAAGGAATGTATCCTATGTTACTATTGCATGTATGGCTGTGATCAGCAGGGAATATGAGCATGAATAGCAAAACGTCTCTGCCCTCAGGAAGCCTAGGTTGTATGTGTTATCAAGACAAATACCTGTTATACCAAGCATGGCTGCCATATAAGAAAGGGGTCATCAAGAGAAGAATGCATTGTGGTTTCTTCTGATACTGCCATGACCACCACTGTCTTGCAGTGTACCAAATAAGTTTGGTTTGTTTTACTTTTTTTTTAGGTATAATTTTCTAGTTTGATTTCTGTTATGGTGATAAAACCACATTTGCACATGCACACACACACGCACACACACAAATAATATTTTAGCAATGCAAGTGACAGGCAATAACATATTTAAACTACTAAAATTGTAAGAAAAGAAAAGACATTGCTGTTTGCTCCCTTTTATAGGTCAAGGAATTGAAGTGTAGGATGCCGTGCCCAAGGTCACACAGCTAGGGAGCAGCAGGGCCACAGTCTCAGCATAGATGTGTCTGACTGTCATGTTTGCTCTCTAAATTCCCCTCAAACTTCCCTTATTGGTTTTGTGTGGTATTACACTATGATATTTATTGAATGTTCTATTTTTTTCTCATAGGCTTATTAGCAAGTAAAGATTTTAGAAATCTATGACACTTAGCATTTCCTGGGACACACTTTAGACATTTTCACATTTCCTAGCAGCAATCATCTGCCATTTTCTATGTGTATCACATCTTCCAGATGTCCTGAGCTTTAGGAGAGCAGTAGATGGCCATCCTTACCTGGGTAGCACTTAAAGTAAATCTCAAAGAAGTGTATTAACACACCCTGCCCTACTTAGGTAAAGATTATTTCTTCCAGAAATGCTGGAAGAACCTAACTCTGATTTGTAACCATTTATATCAAATCCAGTCATCAGGGTATTATAATGAAAATGTTATTACATTTATTGATTTTGTCTTTCATAGACTGTGATATGAGGATCATCTTAATATATGAGCCCAGTCACCAGCCTGAAATCATAGCTATTTTTTCTTCATAGAAACAAAGGCATTTGAGCACCCAATGCTGTGTTCAGAAGCATCGATTCCCTGGATAAAATTTAAAAATAATTGCTACAGTTTTTCAACAGTCCTGGACAGAATGAGTTTTGAGGATGCTCATGAATTTTGCAAAAAAGAAGGTAATTCTGTTATGATGGTGAAATGCTTTCATGTATGCTATTTTGTGTATGACATTTCAGTAACAATGTGCTTTTCTCAGATGCTGATCACCCAGTAACTTTAGAACCAATGAAAACTATTGAAAAATAAACACTTTTGAATTTGCTAAATGGGGGACAGCTATTATAAACAATTAAAGGTCCAGTGTAGACTGTGAAAACCCAAGGTGATGTCTCAGCATATCGCTTTCCCAGGGAACTCTTCCTTTAAAGCCATGTGCATTATGAATCTTTAATATTCTCTAAAATTAATCATCTATATTTTAACTAAGTGAAAGCTTGTATCTTTTAATAAATATGGTTTTCCTTTAGTAGTTTTATTTTTAAAAGTCACTTTAGATTTTTGTGTGTATATGTGTGGTGTGGGCATGTGTACACGTGTATACAGGTATACATGCATGTGGGTATATGAGTTGTGGAGGCCAGAGGACGATATCAGGTATCTTCCTCAATCTCTAGCCACCATATTTTTTTTGAGACAGTCTTTCACTGAGCTTGGAGCTCCCCCACTCAAAAACACTAGCTGGCCAGCAAGCCCTAGGGATCCTCCTGTCACTGCCTCTCAGGCCTGGCTCAGGTGCTAGGAATCCAAACTCAGGCTCTTTACATACCCAGCTATCTCCTCATTTTTCCCCTACCCCTAAATCATTTTTTAATAATGGAAGTTTGGACCTGGAGCTGGAGTTCAATGCCGTGCACTTGCCTAGCTTGCCAAGGCCCTAAAATTCTAGCCCTAGCACTAGAAAAAAATTGAATAAGGAAATATTTACTTTTCAAAGCCTCAGCTTCACAAGTAATGGCATAAGAAGCATTTTTTGATTGTCTTCATCTGTCATCATAAATACTTGCTCATTTGCTACTTGCCTCCTTTATAGGATCTAATCTTTTAACAATCAAGGATGAGGCTGAAAATTCATTTCTCCTGGAAGAGCTGCTTGCTTTTGGTTCTTCTGTCCAGATGGTTTGGTTGAATGCTCAATTTGATAGCAACAGTAAGTGATTTGGGTGGAGAAGAGAGGGTGTAAATAAATACACAGTCCTTGAGGCCTCTGTGAGCCAGAGATTGCTCCTTAAACATGGTTACTGTGAAAAATTGTGTGAATCCTAAAGCCACTTTTCCCAAAAATAACATGATTACCTTTTTCTATATCTTTTAGCTTTTTAAAATTCCAAAATATCAAAAACTAAAAAAAAAAAAAAAAAGTTTACCTTCATACTTACTGTGAAGATGCTTGGCTACAACTCTGTTCACAGACTTCATCACAGTAAAGCCAAGCCATATTGACTGTTAAAAACACATAACAGAGTTAGGGAACTGTTTTAATGACAAATTGTGCCATTAGAATTCTTATGTGCTACTTATAAATGCCAGAGTTTGTAATAAAATGGAAGCATAGTATTCTTTTCTTTATGTAATTGATGGTTATTGAAAGGAAGTTGTAAAGAAAATTATTTTAATTGGCATGGAGAGCATGTTATGGTGGTGGAGAAAGGTGGGTGGGAAGCCCAGTCCACCCTTGCAAGGAACATTTTAATCGTGGACATTGTTTAGACTCTCTAGATGGTGATAATAAAAAGTAGGCTGACTTTTAGTTTATTTTATTGTTAGTTTTAAATTCTTTTCAGACAGTATACCACACACACACCTTATTGACCATATACAGGTTGAACCTTCACACTGATTCCACCCTCTCAGTATAATAATGGCTTTGAAAAATGAGCCTTTTTAAAAAATGATATAAATGTCAGGTTTCCAAAGGATTTTGTTTACACTGATTAATTTTGTTTACTAAGTGGTTTCTTTAAAGTGGTTAGAAATTCATAGGCTATTTCAAAACTCAAACTGGGACATTAAGAAACAAGATATCCTATAAATGAGAACACTATCTAAAATAAGTAGCTCAGGAGGCAACTTTAATTAATGCATACCTTTTGTGATGTTTTGTTCATGCATATGCTTATGGAATTGACTGCCTCTGGGAGTGAGTCCCGTTAAATTTGGGGGCTGCTTTTTGTGATTTATCCCAGTTTTAAGTTGCTTCAAAACCATGCACTAATTCGTAATGTGAGCAATTTTTCCACAGATGAAACCATAAGGTGGTATGATGGAACACCCACAGACCAGTCAAACTGGGGTATTCGGAAGCCAGAACTGGACCACCTCCAGCCCCATCCGTGTATTGCCCTGAGGATCCCTGAAGGAGTGTGGCAGTTATCCCCATGTGAAGACAAAAAGGGATTCATATGTAAAATGGAGGCAGGTGTGTGAAGGGAAGAAGAAATTCTTCATTTCAACTTTTCCCTGGCTAATGCTGACCCACCATAGTGCCACAGTCTTAAATTCAGATAATCAGGGAGTATTCAAACAGATTCCGATATTACTGCCTTGTTCTACATCAGACTTAAGTCAGCACACTTCAGCTCCTTCTTCCTCTAATATGAAGGAAAAGTCATTAGTCATTATAAAAGAAGTCAAGGCTCTGACTTTCTTGTCTGCAAGAAAGAAGTTTACACCAGAACGTAAGGCAGAACGTAAGCCAGCAGTCTCCATCTGGGTGATGCTGTGCAGAATGTTGAGGTTTCTTCACCTTTGACACCTGGAAATATCTATTCATTTGGCACTTTTGTTGTGGATAAGTAGATGTAATTCCTTCTGAAAACATTGTATGTCATAAAGGTCATAGTTCACTTCATCCTGAGAAACTTATTTAGTTTATAATGATGACAATTTTAGAACTCGAAGCCAGAAAAATCTGTAAACATTTGTAAACTACAGCAGAGGCTGATACGCTAGCATACCAGTGAGGATCATGGACTGGGAGAGGATGTTTATAATAAGCCGATCAGTTCTAGATGCTAGTTTTATCAAGAAGGAAGGTTTTGTATGGCTCTAGGATGCTGTAGAAGATGTCAGAGAAACTAGACTCCGTATTTTAGAGGAGGAAGAGAATTTTAGGAGCTGGACCAGAGAAGGAAAGGCACTATAGACCAAAGGCCCCTCATGACTAAAAGCAGTCATGGAGAACACACATAGACTGGAGCAGATGGCTCATGTGAGGGCATGTTAGAAATAAAATTGACCAGTGAGGCAGGATCCAATCAGAGCACTAGGCTAAATAGCCGAGGTTCCTAGCGGAGACAAGGATGCCCTAAGTATCTAGACGCTTGCATTGGTGTTGTCCTCAATCTATTGAAAGAGCAGCATTTGTAACTTGAGTGACAGGACTCGAAGGGCATGACTTTGAAATTACAAAAGCTAAGAGTTTTTTTATTTTGTTTGTTTTGTTTTTTGTTTGTTTGTATTCCAGTGTGGCTTTGCTATCGAACAAGTGTTAAGTGATGTACTAGGTCGCTTCCTCCATTCACTGGTCTGTCCTCCCATCTTCCTCTGGATTATCCTCTACAGTGTCCTCAAATTTACCTAGATCAAAAATTCCAGTTTAATTTTTTAGGTAGTCTTCTTGAATGAGAAGCTTTTACAGTAGAAAGCCTTAAAACAGGAACCATGTTGCTTTGGGACAGAGGGGCTGTTTATTCCTTTGCCAAATTTCTTGGGACCACAAAAGAGAAAAAGGTGCTGACTGTAAAATTATTGCATTCAGGCAGGCAGCCTCTCCATGCTGGGCAAACTTTCTACCATATCCCAACAAAATGCTGACTTCCTGTAAGCAGGGACCGTGTTTTATATGTATTTCTATTGTGATAGTGCTGAGACTGGATGGAAATTTGGGGGCTTGAATAAATGGGGGGAAAAAAAGCAGTAATGCATTGTGAGCAATAGTATCAATCACTGTAAATCATGGCTTATGGGCAGGTGAGATGTGACTCCCATAAGTTGTCATCTGATCCACACATGCATCATGGCATAAGTGCATGCACGCATGCTAAATAAATAAATCTACGGGATGGAGTGCTACCTCAGAAGTTAAGAGCACTAGCTGCTCTTGCAGAAGCCCCAGGTTTGGTTCCCAGTACCCAGCACATGGTGGCTTACAACCACCCATAACTCCACTTCCAGGGGAGCCGACACTCTCTTCTGGCCTCTAAGGGCATTACACACTTGTGGTGCACTTACATACATGCAGGCAAAATACTCATACACATAAAATAAAAAATCAATCAACCAAAATTTTAAAATAAATATAATAAAAATAATTTTTAAAATGATAGATCACCAAATTTTTCTTGTAAAGGACCTGACAGTAAATACTTTAGTCTGTGAGGATCGTATAGCCCCTGTGACATGGACTCATTTGCCTCAATGAAATAGTCATAGACTTGCTGAAGAGATGGTTCAATCAGGGAAGTGTCTGCAGCACAAGTATGAGAATCTGCTTTTGGATCCTCAACATCCACATAAATAAACCAGCATGATGGCATGTGTCTGTAAACCTCACATTGGGGAGGTGGAGACATCAGGATCCTTGGACCTTGTTGGCCAGCCAGTCTAGCTGAATTGGTGAGCTCCAGGTTCAGTGAGAGACACTGTCTTAAAAACTAAGGGGGAGAGTGATTTAGGACCTGGCCTACACACACACACACACACACACACACACACACACACACACAACATACAATACATTCATATGGGGCTGGAGAGATGGTTGATCAGTTAAAAGCATTGGCTGCTCTTGCAGAGGACCTGAGTTTGGTTCCCAGCATTCACATGGCAGCTAACAACTGTCCCTAACTCCAGTTCCAGGGGACCTAACACCCTCTTCTGACCTCTGCAGGCACTGCATATATATATATGCAGTCAATACACTCATACACATAAAAATAAAATAATAAATAAAAAATTTTAAAAACGCATACATACACAAAGGATCACAGACCATACATAAATGAATGAGGATATTTCATTCCAATAAAACATTATAACATAAAAACCAGCAACCATAGTTGATCTATGAGCCATAGTTTGATGCCTGCTACAAGTAATGACATAACTTGGCTGAATTTGAAAAAATACTTCATTTCTATTTTTTCATCTGATTTTAGATGTTCCCACTGTAAAGGAGCATCCAAGAAAAGGTGAGTTTGGAACATGAAGGAATATCTTGATTTTTCTTAGAAATAATAAAATAGAAAGCAACTATATGTCATTACCTTGACTCTCCTCTTCATCTTCCAGGGTTGAGTCATGGCATCGTGCCTCTTGCAGTCGCACTGACTCTGATAATCATCCTGGCCATTTTCATACTTGCCTTCTGGATATACAAGCAGAACAGTGGCTTCTTTCAAAGACTCACAGGGTCCAGGAATCCTTACTATCCTACAACCAACTTCAGTACAGTACATTTAGAAGAAAATATTCTCATTTCCAATCTTGAGAATAACCAATGATGATGAAGTCAGAGGATGCCCCAGACATGAAGAGGAGCAAAGGAGGCTGCAAGGAGCGTCCTGTCTGCCCTTCCCGCTAACAAGATGCCGTTATAATGAGGACTGTATCACCGTTTCAATTATTCTCCAAGCACTGGTTTTAAATTGTAACCAAATCAGACAAGGTTTAATTTATTCATTTCTTCAACTGTGGCCAATTATTAGAATGGGTATTGGTTACTATTTAGAAAAACAAGAATAATCCAAAAGAAATCCTATATTGAGAACTCTTCAAACCCATCTGGTACACATCCAGACATTTCCACAGGCACTCAAAGAGAAAGGAGGAAAAAATGTAAATCCTATCCTTGGATACTAGAAGAAAAGGCTTTGGGGACATTTCTTGTTTGCTTCTAATTCAATCATTTTTAAAGGCAGATTTGGCAAGTACTAATTCCTAAATTTTAAACTCACGGGCTCTGAACTCTCAACTAATACTTCGGGTGATGTTAATTTTTGTCTGATTCTCAGCCCAGGGAAGAAGCACAACGTGACTCTCTCTTGAATGTGAAGATCTTGGTGAGCAGCACACTTTTGAGCAACCACTTAGTTAAAAATGTGACTTAAATATTCACTTGCTAAAGTGATTACCATGTTTGATATTTAAAGGTATCTTATAAGTAAGCTTAAAGGAATGTATTGAGACTTGTTTAAGTCACTAAAACTCATGGTCTTTATTAAAAACAGAAAATATAAATAATAATATAACTATGTTGACAACCAGGAGATACAGAAATCATGTACCTTGAATTTAAAGAGGAAAAGTTAAAGATCTGAATACATTCCCATTAGAACCAAAGTAGAGGGCATGTTAAGAAATGCTAAATAAAATCAATCTGCAGTAGTAATCAAGACACTTTTTTATATAAATGAACTGATTTAGGTGCTCTAATAAACTATCAATTTTGAGATCCATCTCTTTTTGTGTTTTACTAGTTGGTACTATTGGTTAATAAACATTAAAAGTATATTTATTTGGGGCTTGGGAGATGGTTCAGTTGGTAAAATGCCTGCTGTACTAACATGAGGACCTGAGTTCAGATCCCCAGAACCCACATAAAATCCAGATGCAGAGGTGCACATCTGTAACCTCAGCACTGGAGTGTAGATGGAGTAAAAACAGATGAATCTCTGAAGCACACTAGCCAGCCAGCCTATCCATACTGATGAAGTCCAGGTTCAGTGATAGACCTTGTCTCAGAAAATAAAGTGAAAAGTGATAGAGGAAGACACCAAAAGTCAACCTCTGGTCCTCACATGCACACATATACATGTGCACATGCAAATGCACACACATATGCACAATCACAAACATTAAAATTTCTTAAGTATGATCTTGTCTGTATTTTTTTAAACCACAAGTTTTATATCCCTTCAATATTCTCTTTTTAATATTTTATTTATTTTTATTTTCTGTGTATTGCCTATATGTATGTAAGTGTACCTGTGTCATGCAATGCCCATGAAGGTCAGAAGAGAGGCTCCCCTAGAACTGGAGGTATGGATGGTTCTTAGCTGGGATTTGAACCCCAGTCCTCTACAAGAGCAGCCAGTGCTCTTAAATGCTGGGCCATCTCTCCAGCCCCATTAATTTCTTATAAAGAAAAATGGTTCCATAAGCAATACTAAAAAAATAATGCACGCCTTTAATCCCAGCACTCGGGAGGCAGAGGCAGGCGGATCTCTGTGAGTTCAAGGCCAGCCTGGTCTACATAGTGAGTTCCAGGACAGCTGGGGCTACAGGGAGACCCTGTCTCAAAAAAAAAAAAAAAATTACTCACTGCATAAATGTTTATTGAGAATCCTCTTCGAGCCCAGGTTCTGGGGTAAGCAAGTCCAGGGCTCATGGCACTTTATCCAGTAAAGAAGCCCATACATAGAGGACAGCAAGTAGCTATAAAAAGTAAGGTCCTATGATAGAAGTGAGGAATCTCAGTCTAAGTGTGCATTTTAATCATCACAACCACGTGTATTGGGTGCTGGTGGCCACTAGTCACAAGGGGGAGCTCAGGGAGAAAGTATGAATGGATTTCTGCACTTCAAAACAGGTTCATTAACAATACAACTTGACGAATAGAGTCCTTGTGGCCTATTACAGTTAGTACTGATTCCAATGGCAGCTCTTTGCTACTGTTATGTAGTTTACACACTGGAACAGTCTGCTCTCATAATTTTTCTAAGTCTTAGAAACTCATTTTTAAAAATATCTATCCACTTTGTGTTTATGACACAAAAGAATAATTGACTTGAACTCACCAGATGGTATAAAAACTCAGCTTAATACCATCAAGTCAAATTAAAATTCCTTCTTTTCAATGGACTTAATAAAACCACAATCAATTAGCTTACCAGTCTAAGTATACATATGTGTATATATATGTATATATAGTTATGCATAACAATTTGACAAAGTATGTCATTAGAAAAGTGGTTTTGTCAAAAAGAATTGCATTACTTGTCAAAGCTGTGTATTTTGGTATTTAGTATTAAATGATATCTCTAGAGAATCTGTCCCCATAAACAGGCCACATGTTCATTTTCATTGCTGAGATTTCAGAAATAGAAAGGACTAAGGGATTCTGCATTATTCATATAAGTGCACTTTAAAACTTCCACATCTATTTTTAATCTGAATTCAATTTCAAAGCTATGGATGAAAAGAGTAAAAATAGCAGAGTCACAAACTCACTCATCATTATTATTCCCCCGCCCCAGGGGGGAAATAGTTGAAAAATCAACTATTTTTGCTGAAGGTCCTTTGGTCCTGGGCTGATCTCTAGAACCACAAAAAGTAAAAATGTAAAAATTAATATACATATGAATTTTTCCTGTGACTGTCCTGAGCATCTTTTATGCCTCACAGTATTGGAAAGTTTTAGATTTTCCAATTGATAATACCTTGGACTCTAATAGCCTTTGTGTTACATTTAAGTCTCTTCTTTTTTATTTATTATTTGTTATTTTATGTGTATGAGTGTATTGCCTGTATGTGTACAAGTACACCTGTGTCATGCAATACCCATGGAGGTCAGAAGAGGGCATCAGATCTCCTGGAATTAGAGTTACAAATGGTTGTTAGCCACCATGTGGGTGCTGGGAACCAAACCTGTGTCCTCTGGAAGAACAGCCAGTGCCCTTACCACTGAGCCATCTCTCCAGTCCCACATTTAAATCTCTTCTATTGAAAGTTGTACACTTGGCCAGGCGTGGTGGCTCATACCTTTAATCCCAGCACTTGGGAGGCAGAGGCAGGCAGATCTTTGTGAGTTTGAGGCCAGCCTGGTCTACATAGTGAGTTCCAGGACAGCTGGGGCTACAGGGAGACCCTGTCTCAAAAAAAGACAAAAAAAAAAAAAGTTGTACCCTTAAAAAAATCTTGTTATATAGACATTTAATCTTGTAGTTCCTCTACCTTTTTGAAACGCTGGTTGGGTAGATGAAAACTTACTAAGTCCTTCTGATATTGGGAGGAGAAGGTTGTGTTGGATGCAGAGATGTGCAGTGTTCTGCATCCAGTGAGAACAGCTATCTGGCCCTACTAGGAGTTCTGCTGGCCACTGTTCTCAAGTTTGTAGACATTATATACAGCCTGGGATCTGTCTCTGTGATCTGGCCCTGTCCTGGTGTCTCTGGCACTTCCTTGCTTCCTAAGACCTGGCTGTGACTCTCACTTGGTGCCCTCCCTGGACACGGCCATTCTTGGCTACAAAGTGCCTCACCCTGCAGTGGTGGCACCCTATTGGGACAAAAAGAACATTTACTTTTTAACCCACATCTGCATGAGCTAACAAGAGAATTTGCTTTATTCAGCCATTCCTGGGTCAGGCACTTCCTGGGTGATTGGATTTCTACCTTCCGTGGCTTTGGCTCTCCTTCCTGAAGCTGACAGAGAACATTAACCTGAAATTTCTCATTTATGACATATTTTCTATGGGCTTTTTGTGTTTTATTTTGTTTTTGTTTTCATGCTTGGGATTGAAACTAGTCTTGACCATACTACCCTACCAGTCCCCATGCACTTCTGAAACATATTCTGCAAGTCAATTCTCTTTAAACAAGGGCCAAATACCCTAAGAGAGCAAAAAGCTTTCTGAGGGATGTGGCGGGTAGGGTATTTCTGAGGACCTCAATTTCTAGAATCTGAAGCTGCATCTATTACTCCTTAAAAGTGATTTACCAAAGAACACCCTTGGAGTCAGAGTGTCATGGAAGTTCTTCTCCTCATCTCTGTTTACACAAATGCTTTTCTCAGCAACAGCAGCAGCACCTGGCTTTCACTCTCAATATCAATGTGTTGCCTTGCCATGGGAAGCATCTCCATGGCATGAAGATTAAAAACTAATGTTACTGGTGACTGCAAAGTTTCAAATAAAGGGCTGCTATCTTTCTTGGTATTCACATGTTTTTCTGTTAAGTGTGAAGAAATACTGTACCCCATGTTCATGCACTAATGCATGATAGAGTTGAACAGTCAACATGCTAACTTGCTTTATCTGAGACGTCATCCACCCCCTGACTTATTTGTCAATATACAACTAGAGAGAAAATCTGTGAAGCCAACATGAAGAAAGTGTACACAGTGTGGAAAACCTGACATCTTGTGGTATCCGAGTGACAAGCCCATGGCAAAGTTGTGTTTCTTCTACCTTAGGTCTTTGAGTGGTGAGGCTGATCTTAACAGGACTATTTGGTTAAACAGTTAATCAGACTTTCTCCAAACATTGTCTTATGGGGCTGTTGGTTTGATAGTGAGATTACAACAGGAGAGTATCAGGGCAAGACAACACATTCCTCTAATTCTAGCTACTTGGGAGGCCAACATGAAGGATCAAAAGTTCAAAGCCAACCTAGGCAACATGGAAAAATCTTGTTTTAAAACTAATACAAACAAAAGGAAAAAACAAGAGGAACAGAATCAGGGAAAAATTAGTGGGTAATGGTTAATTCCATCAAAAGAAAGAAAAAGACTTAGCAGAATAAGCAACACAATGTATTTGGAAGTTTTAGATAAAACAGCTTTTTTACATATCTTTTTGTGAGTTCAAGGCCAGCCTGGTCTACAAAGTGAGTTCCAGGACAGCTGGGACTACAGAGAGACCCTGTCTCACAAGCACCAAAAAAAAAAAAAAAAAAGAAAGGCAAGTTTTTATTTTTATAATAACCATAAAGAATGGAGCAAATTTATATATAGTTGACTTCTGAAGTTCCAGAAAAAGAGATAACCAGGTATTGGATAGGCATGTCCTCCAAAAGAACTAGCAACAGCTGGATGTCTGAACTCTAAGAAACTCCATAGAAAGGAAGGGAGATAGTCACCCCTCCCACCCAATCAGTCAGTTCAATTGCATGAGAAGGAGAGTCTAAAGAGAGACACAGAAGAAGCCAGGTGGGTGGTGGGAACTTTGCCATATTGGGCTGGTGGGCTGGGAGCCTCAGATCTGGAAAGCTCAGCCAATATGTAGGGAAAAGAGCCCATGGGTGCATGCCTTTGTCAGTAGCCCCCTCCTGGACACAAACTCTGTAAGAAAACCCAAATAAATATCCTTATTCCCTACACTGTAGTTTTGTCATAAGAACAGTGTGGGAAGAGAGAGGGTCACAGTGCACCTCCCAGTGGGCCTGAAAGCTGATGGTGTGCACAGCACGGGCCTCCCAGAAATAATATGCAAATACTCGGGATACAGCAGGATGCATGGGATATGGCAAACCAGAAGAATTTGGGAAGATTGATGATGTCCCTGATATGGAAAAGGACCAAAGCAAAGTTGGGGGAGAGGAGAGTGTGGGCAATAGTCACGTGGATTATGCAATGGATAATGAGATATGCAACTAAAATGAGACCTCCTAAGTGGATGAGTTCAACTGAGGAAATCCCCAAGTGGCTGCCATCTTGTAAATGGCATAAAACAGCACAG